GCTATCGTGGGCGAAAATTATGGAAGCCCGAATCATTACCAAAGGTTTTATTTGGTAATGCTATTTGATGAGGAACGGATGGGATCAGGGTCATGATATTTATTATGAAGAATGAAAATCTATGCTCATGAAGCTGTCCTTGGCCACGTTGCTCTAAAAAAGACAACTAGACACCCAGTGACTAGAAAAAGGGCCGGCTGTTTATTGACCAGATTCAATGCTCTCGGTAATTCTAGTTGCCCAAGTCAGATTGACTAGAGAATTAAAGAAAATGAAGCAACTACTACGCGGACTTGGCTACCATACTCACGGCGATTCATTCACATATGAAAGGGATACAGAGATAGCATAGTATGACTTAATTATGCAATTACTATTGCTAAACAGCATTGCGGTTTTGCAACAGGGCAGATACTGCTCCCTAGTAGGGGCAGCCGGAGTGATGTGTAGATTAGATTGGATGTGTAGCCTAGAAGACCATACCCTTTGTCTGGGTCATCTCCTTCACATTGAAGTTCTTGATCATCCAAACCCAGATGAAGCAAAGCACCATAATACCTGTTCCAGCAGCAAGCATCCTAGTCTGGGCATAACCGTACGCCTCCTGAATGGCAATACGCTCGAGGCTTCCAACGGGGTACGAGAGCTGGGCCGGAAGGCTTGCGTAGATCGTAGTGGCATTCGCCACAGCAGATTCGGGCAGGTTGCGAAGAAGAGCCGGGAGGAACGTGTTGGTCCATATGGCGCCGGAGATGGTGCTGCCGATGGCACCTCCAATGCTGGCGGAAACAAAGAGCAACGCGAGAACAGCGGCAACATGCTGGTGGTCGACAGCGGCGAGGACAGAGAGCTGCTGGCAGAGGACGAAGATACTTCCAGAGATGGAGATGAAGATCTCGCACATGACAATGTACCCAATCTTCTCGTTGGGGCGACGGAAGTGGATCATTAGTCCCTGAGCGAAGATGTAGAGAGGAATGGCCCCAAAGTAGAGCCACTTGAAGCGGCCGGTTCTGCGGATGAGGTAGCCAACGCCGAAGAGGAGAACACCAGAGACGACCTGGAACGTGCTGTTGACGTAGCCAGCCTCGGCAACTGTCAGATTGCAGACTACCTGGAGGAAAGAAGTGAAGTAACTGTTCCAGCAGTAGTACGAAATCTGGTAGGTGGCGTCCTGAAGGCATGTGCCGATAACACTGCGGTCTGTAAGGAATTTGTTCTTGAGGAATGGGGCTGGGGCCCAAAGGATCTCATAGACACCGAATAGAACCAGAACAAAGAACCCAACGACAATCATGGCAATGATGTAACCGCTCTTCCAGCCCTTCGGGGCGGAGGCAGCGAGCGTGAACGGGAGCAGGAAAACGACTAGTCCAACAGCAAAGAGAAAGACACCAAGAGCTAGTATAAATGTGAGCTAGAGACAAATAAAAGTTTGTTGTTGGGGAGAGCCTTACCGTCAAACTCAACGATATAATGCCAGATGTTCTGTCCCAGTGTTCGGCCACTGCTCTCTCTCACAATGATACCATGCTTCTCAGCCTTGCGAATGTGATACTTCAGAAGAATGAATGTGGGAAGGGTGACAAATGGCATGATGATGGCAAAAGCTCCGAATCCCCATTTGATGCTGACATTCTGCAGAAACTTCTCAGCAGCCTTGGATCCAGCGAAGGCGGTGATCATGTAAGGTGAAGAGGTGAAAGCAAATGCAAGACCACGATTTTGCAGGTTGGTGACATCGGACGCAAGAACGACAATACTGTAGATAAGTCCTCCAAAGCCAACAGAGTAGAAGACCTGGATAAAGGAGTTTAAATGTCAGCATGGCGTTTGGGACTACCATTTGGAGAATCTTACCCTGGCAGCGCAGAACGTTGCGAGATTGTCGGCCACAGCCATCAGAATCAGACCCAGAACACAAGAGCCAACCATCAAGAGGAAGGCCTCTGCTCTGCCCCAGACATCAAGCATCTTGGCCATCGGAATGTACACTGCACCGGACATAGAGTTGGACACAATGGTGATGACAGTGAGCAAAGAGTGGGAGCTCCATTGGCTGGTCACATATGGAGTCAAGCTAGCAAGAATGGCCAGTCGAAAACCGTTCGTCAAGAAAAGGAGCCAGATGCTATTGGTCTGTTAGCTTCGAGTGACAATATGCTGAAAGCCGAAACAACATACAGACAAAGCATGGCAGCAAGCCCGCTCTTGTCCCAGGTCAAGGTCGCAGCTTGGATTCCGCGAACACCAGCCTGCGCAGACTCATCGGGAACAACATCATCCTTCAGCTTCTCAGGGTCCTCTGGCACCACCGTGGAGGTGCCGGCAGTTTTCTCTGCTGCAGGGGTGATCTCAGCAACATCGGCCGGGGCTGGAGCTGGGGCGATGGCGTCTGTGCCCTTGACGCTCGCCTTGATTTTATCCACGAAAGACATCTTGAACCTCACTCCGTGGGATCAGGTTGAAAGATTGGATACGCACGAGAGAGGAGGGACAGAGTCTACCAAAGCTCGCCGTGAACCGGAGTCTTTAAGCACAAGGACGCAGGCCACCTGCCAGGGTTGCGTGTTGCATTCCCACATCGTTGGTGAATGCAAGGTGCTCGAATAGGCCGCACCAGCCGATCATCCCTCGCATGTAGCAAGGGATGTGTGGCTCTAGCTCGACAGGATCAGGTCACAAGTGGCGACCATGCACAAACGGAGGAACTGCTGCAATAAGAATGGGTACGTGCCAAGCAGATTAGATTAATCTGATATGATTAGATCCAATCATTTGTATCGCCACCACCCTATCGTGCTATTAGGGCCCAGAAAAGCTTCTGTCTAAAGCTCCGGCATAGCCCTACTGCAGGCAAAGAGCCGGGCTCGCTTGGGACCGCGCTATGCTGCACATCCTGGCAGTCCACGCGGCACGGAGAAAAAGATTCGACATGGAAATCCAGAACCAAGGAGTCGGCGTTCATCTCTTTGGGCTCTATCCCAATAGCACTAGATATTTGTAAAACTCCTGATGATGAGCCCAAGTAACGCTGGCGAGATGATCCTAGACCAGCTGGTGTTTGTATGAACGGCACCTCTTTCAAAGGTCCATCCCCTGTAAGGTGTCGACGGGGGATGGGGGAAGAGCCGGAGAACTCCATGAGCCGAACGCGTGGTTAATCTGCCCCGATTTTGCGACTGCGGAGCAGTGTTCAATCGTTAGATGCTCATAGCAGTCTCCTATGCAATTGGCCGTGGCAGACATCGAGACCAGAGACCCGGCATCACATCAGGCCCCAGATAAAAATTTTCATGCTTAATGATTCAGGTTGGGGATCGAGAACCCTTAGGACGGCCCAAGGATGTTGCCTGCAGAGACCGGGAACTTCCTCGTCGGCAGGGACCGCTTGGCTTGTCAAACTAGGAAGAAATCTCCCACCGTTAGCTTGGCAGGTTTCGGGCGTCCGGAGTTCCGTGTGCGGCGAGTGAGTTCTCCCACCACATTTCAGTTTATATATATTCAAGCCGGTCTCTGTTACTCAAAAGACCTTGATTCCTTTGCACCTCGAAGGATCAGTGGTATGCATAGACTGTCCTGTCTCTTTGTTTGGCCTGCTCACAACCAAGCTGACTGGCTCTCAACTGCTCTGGACCCTGATCCATCATACCCATCAAAAGCAATCTTATCTGATCCAAGGTTCCAGTATACAACCCGCCCCATCACCTGAGACCCCTCATTCCTCGAGCTTGTCAAACTTTGCTCAATAGCGTCGAATAAGCATAACGGGCTGTTCACAATTGTCCGACAACCGGAGCCTCTAGAAAGTGGTGCGCAACGCAGAAAATCGCTCACTTATCACCTGTTCAGGGCTCCATGCTGACTCGGCGATTGCCTCTTACGGTGATCGCGCTGACTCTGCACCACCTGCTGACGTTTCAACGCTGCCCAATCCCTCGTCTTGGATTCTGTTGTGATTGCTTTATTTCAATTTAGACTAGCTGTGAAGGGGCTTCTTGGGAAGCCCTTTCTCCTCTATTGACTATTAAGCATAGCGAGCAAAAGTGATATACATATTAGATGCGTCTCGTCTTGTCTCGGTGTCCACCTGCGTTAGAGCAGCAGGGGAGCTTGCAGGTGGGGAGCAATAATGTGATGTGGTTCGGCCAGCTACGCTATTCAAGTCAAATTTGAGTGAATAGCTAGCCGTTACCGTCCGATGAGGTGCCCACAAGTTTGTTATGCGTTAAATGATCTTAATTGAACGACTAACGAGGTAGGAACGTTTCCGTGTTGGGATATTTGGATACTGGCATCTGACGATGCTGGTAGAATATTTCACCCATCGTCTAATCTCCTGCATTCATCCAAGACATGCTCCATTACATCGACGGGAGGCCCATGTTTTGAGACTAGGTAATAGATATAGCTTAGATATATATAGTAGTATTTATAACTACTTACTATCCTAAAAGGTTTATTATATTAGTTATCTTCCATTATATATACTAACTCTTGCGAAAAGAAATTGATTTAGTATTATAGATATATAAAGCAAGTTCATATCTTTAGTTAATAGCTAATAAGTAACAGGCTACTGACTTCCTTTATCCAGATTTAAAATCTCCTAGAAATCGTTGAATAATTTAGTTAGATATATATAGTCTAGCTAGGAGACGGGTGTCTACTGTAACTGATCTTATTCTTTAACCCACCTCTCCACCTCCATCAAGCCTGGATTACGGCTTGTACAGCACTCTGGTTTCCTTTCTACTGTTCTAAAGCAGGAAAAGAAATGTCAGTGATTGGAACTTGGTTCGCATTAACTCCTGATTTCTTTCCCCCTTCCCCAAGACAGGACAAAATGTCAGCGGCTGGAGCTCGGACTTTAGGGAGTTAGGGAGTTAAGGGATATATCGTCGCGATAGCACACTTCATGGGTATATAAAGGATCGAAAAGTGTCAAATCTTCTGAGATTGGATGGAGAACAAAGTCCAACAGTAGAAGAAAATCGAAAATGACATCTGTCAAAACTATCGTGTTCGGCCCAACAGGAGCCGTGGGCTCAGCTACCGCGCGCGCTGCGCAAGAGCAAGGAGCCAAAGTGGTTCTCGGCATGCGAGACCCGACAAAACCAATTACTGGCCTTAGCCCCGAGGACGAGCAGAGAGGCGGCATTGAGAGGGTCCATGCCGACCTCTCAAAGCCCGAGACTCTTCACGAAGCAGTGACAAAGACCGGAGCGACACGCGCCTTTATCTACCTGCTCTTCGAGGCCAAGGACGGCATGAAGTCTATTCTCACAACACTCAAGTCCGCCGGGATCGAATATGTCGTCTTTCTCAGTAGTGATGCCGTACCAGATAGCTTGGACATTCGAGAGAGCGACCACATCGCCCAGATTCATGGAGAGGTCGAGCTTAGCCTCAAGGAAGTGTTTGGGGCAGGAGCCTACGCAGCAGTCCGAGCGGGATGGTTTGCGAGCAATTCCCTCCGATGGAAGGACATGTTCAAGGAGAGAGAGATCAAGATTCCATACGCTGAGGCATATTTCGATTGGATCTCACCTCAAGATATTGGATCCGTGTGTGGAGGACTTCTCTCTAAGGCACCTCGAGACATTGATGGAAGGGCTGGACCGAGCGTTGTTCGAATCGCTGGTCCAAATGTTCTCACCCAGGCAGAAGCCGTGGATGTCGTCGCAAAGTCTCTTGGGAAGGAAGTCAAGATCACGTCACTTAGTTTCGATGAAGGTGTGAAATTTTTTGTATCATCTGTTGGACTTCCAGAGCCTGCGGCCAAGGCACTGGTCGATATCATAAGAATCAGGGCCGAGGGCGGAAAAGCCGATGGTGGCTACGAAGGTCTCAGATATGAGGAGAGAGTTGCCAATATTCGGAAGTATAGTGGTAGAGAGGCCACACCGTTCCAGCAGTGGGTGGATGAAAACAAGAAAGAATTTGATGTTTAACTAATGCATTCCTGGTCATCTTCTCTTGCTGATTCGAGAAGGTAATTTCAAACCACTGCAGTCTTTCAGATGTACCAGCTGCAATAAATCGCCCCGTAACATGAGCGCGATATATTCCGGGAAGGTTTTAATCTTTTTATGTTGTAGACCTTTCCATTAGCCCAGGAGAAGGCCGATGGCCGATCAATGTCATCCGCTAAACCTCATTACTTCTTGGTTGGGATGATTGGATACAACTATACATGGGTAGATTGCCCCTGTTCTAACGCCAAATGTGGTTACAAAATGCGCCGGAATACACGACGCCATCGCTTAGATTGTATTGCTGTTCGCTATCAATGCCTTTGCTTGTTTGTCGTTGATAATTGAAATGGTTTTGGAAAATCTGGGGAGGAATACTATAGAAATTTGAATAACCTAGAGTAGGGAGCAATCCTAGCATGCATGTTACGACAGATGATGGGGACATGTAGGTTATATTAGCACAGAGACAAAAGTTTCAATATATGAACAACCCTTATGGCTTTCTACTTATTCAATAACTTATAAGCCTAGCTTGCCCCTCGATAAATGCCGTGCCAAGTACTGACCCCTTCCCGCCCTTAGGCTAGCTGGGACTATATGTTCCGCCCTGCATTCCGTTACCTTCAATGATCGCTGTGACGTATGTTTATGCCCTTATTTATCTCGGGAGTGAAATTGATAGGTCAAATTTAAAAGGGACACAAAGCGAGACATATGTAGGGGTCTCATCCCTGGACGTTCCTACTTTTGGAGAATATTACTTCCGCAGAACGATTGGGTTGTGCTAGCCTACTGACGGCTCATGCCGCATCACGGAGAATTGTGAGGACTGAACTTCTAATTTCCAGAGTAGAGAGCCGAATATGTCAAACAAGCTTACTTCCCAGTATAGGCTGATGCATAATCTCAGTGAGTACTGCTGTCGAGTTTGATTTACTCCATGTCGCACCTCACGCTAATGCATAGTGTCTTGATAGGGGCTGCGCAGCTGAAAAGGAGTAGTATTTATGCTCAATGGCATGAATTTACTTGAGTTATCAGTATTGCATTGGTGAGAGCATAGACCAGCTATACATCCAAGACAGCTGAGGGTACGAGGACGAAAGGTGAGACACCGATGGTTGGGAAAAAGCAAGCTGGTTCAGTTTAGCCTCGAGCTTTTATTGCACCCATTAACGCATGAAATTACGCAGCTTACACTATCGTTACACAATAGACAGCATTACGTCGTAGCTCAAGCTTGGGAGGAGCACAAACTCCCGGAATAGGGCGGAATCCCTCACCATTTGAAACCTGACTACTCTCTCTGGTAAATGGAGACATGCCGGGTTTCTGTCTGAAACACAGACCTGCCTTTGCTGGCTAGCTCACTCATTTAGCTCCGTCTACCCGGTCAATGCACCAACAAATACCGAAACACGATTCGCTAAGCCGTGCTGATTGCATTACAGTGCATTAGTGAGACAATCCCGGGAATATCACTTTGCTTAAGCGCGACCCCAGACAGACCCCCCTTTGGACCTTCCAGTTTAAATCCAGCCTGGTCGCTTTTCACCGACATATTGAAGCTCCTAAACTGCTCCTCTATTCACGATCCAGGCCATCTGCTTCTCATACGGCGCAAAATCACCGTTGTCAACTTCCTACCGACCATCCGAGCCACTCCTCGAGTGTTACGATACGAACCACAAATTACAAGCTATTTCCCGCGAAACTCCATTACTCAGCTGTAGAGCAGGATCTCCAGCTTGATCCCAATTCCCTCGAATACCCATCTATCCTGGGTGCTATTTCTCTCATATCTCTGCCGCATTGGAAAATGGCAATCACTCTTGCTACTTCGATCGCCCCCAATTCTGGGCTTGGACCCCGCCCGATAACGAACATGACCGACAGCGAATCGACGAGTCCATGGCGGGAAACAGCGAGGCGGTTACAAGAGATCCACGAGTGGGAGATCCAATTCCAGAATGATAGCCAGGAGCTTGATGAGAGAGCAGAGTCTCGAGCCAGCAGTCGAGGGGGCATGCGTGAATCAGACGAACGATACGACGATATTGATGGGATTGAGGGCATCGACGAAGAAGAAGCAAAGGAGTACGAGAGGCTGGCGCAGAAACTGCTCACGGAAGCGGAGGAGAAGCTCAAACTTATTTCATGGGAGCTGCAAAAATTCCGCCCCGATTTGTCATGGCCAATGAAAGCATAGCGTTATAATGTTAAGCAATTATTAATGAATTATCAATTCTCCGTACATATATTCTAGTCGTTCCTAGGTAGAGAAGTGGGAAATAAAGTACCCGGGCTTAAATGATTCTGTTTCGCCATGAATCTCTCAGCTGGTATGTGAGCAGCTGTACTACTAAGGGCAAGGAATGAGCCTTTCCATGACCGCCTAAATTTAATTGCTGGTTATAAGTCGAATTGCATTCTTCACATATCCCTTCATCTGGTCATGAGCTGGCTATATCGACACAGCAAAACATGTCTGAGGATCTGTCTTGCACTAGTGAGACTTTACTTCCTACTTCCGTAGTGCCCCAGCTTCATACGATGGGTTGATGACTCGCGCTACTGCGCCAATCGTTCAGAACGTCCCAGAGACCTCGACATTTCTGGAACCCGATATGATGCGCGAGACCTTTCGGCTTCACTTGCCTTCGCCTTGTAGTATCACCGCAGCACTCGCCTTTATGGCCGTGTTGTGCCTTCGAATCGCGGTTCGTCTGCCCATTTCTGCAAGCAATTGTTGCGCCCGGCCGTCGTTGGGTGGCTTCACTGGCAGACAGCGGGTATGTAGTTCTCGGTTTCCGCAATGTAGGTCTCGGTATTCAATTGGCATGGAGCGCCGGCTTCTCGAACTTCTACTATGGTTCTGGGTCGATAGGCTTTTGTTTGGTTGGTATACGGCGTTGTCGGAAGCCCTGAACCAGATGGCGACGAGGAGAGGTTTCAATACGGGTGGGCGGGGGGCTCAGTTCTACCATTCAGGCTTCTTCAAAGATCAAGAAAAGCGTTCGGCTGCGAAAAGAAATCATGCGTAATGCGCGTTCGCGTCATTTTGCCATATTTGAGAGCCCACCGCTCTGCTTCTGGGACTCATTTGAGGAAGCGGAACTTGGTGTGAAAGCATTGACAGTGGTTGAAGGCTCGTTCTAGGTCGCTGGACATGTCACTGATGAGCCTTGCTCCTAGGATGAGATCGATGTAGATGGTGAAGACGATGCGGACGTGGAGGGCGCATCATTGGCTGAGTTGTTGATTGCGCTGCTGTTTGCGACAGTGGAAGGGCTGGCCGTAAAATCGATCCCTGTCAGTAGGGAGGAAAGGGGGTGAACTGACAGAAAGTTCATCATGCTGACTGGTTTGCAGTGGTACCGCAAGAGTGCGACTGAAAGAGGGGTCCCTGTTCAGTTGGGTGTTTGGATTCCCTGGCTGTTTCCAAAAGTAGATCCTAGAATGAAACCTTGCCTGGTTACAGCCTCCCCCTGCCAGCTTGTGATGCTGCGATCTTCGGATTCTCCTTCTTAGACCGCATCCCGAATGATTGTAGAACCCAAACTAACGAAAATGCCATGACCTCCCTGCCAATAACTCACAAGCTTCTTATACTATATGGTTGTGTTTCAAAGCAACTAGTCAAACGCTGTTACAAGCTGAAGTGTGGAGAGTATGATATTACTGAGGAAGAAAGATAAAAGTTCTTGAAAGCATTCGAACATCCAATGTACTCGGCGTCATTGAAGATGTGAGCCTCATCTGTCACACGAGGAGGTGGCTGTGCCGTTAGGGATCGCTTCCTAAACACTAATAAACACATTCTTCTGGTGAAGAGGGGGCAATGCGACTTAATTAGCAAGTATGCGCACAGCCGTGCCCTCATGCTTGAACAAATGCCGTCAGTCCAGGGGTTTTTGCACCTGGATTCAAACAACTCGGTGTGGTTTCTGAGAAGATCTGGCTTCACACATCCGAAACTTCTCTTTATTACCGAGAGGTTTGTGTTACGAGCAGCTAGAACGCAGCATAGAAGTTACGGGCATGTGCCCGTGACTGGAATCGGGACTGTACCAACTGGGCATCGTAAGTGACTTGCTCATCATGATACAAATAGGTACTTGTTAGATGTCTTTCGTACTCTTCTCTAAAGTAAGTATTCGTACGTGCTTAATGTGACAAGGGTAGTTTACAATTATGTTTGAAAGGAGCTTTGTTTTACAAACCAAGAAACCGCCAAACCGCCGAGACCAGGGACATGATTTGGTCAAAAGCATGCAGTTCGCTTGAACATCGACAACTGAGACACACTACGGAGCAGCATGTTCAGATTATTTGCATAATTATTTAAGGCATAAAATTCCCCAAGTATTTTCGAGTCCAAGACTCGAAACCGCAAGCGGGAAAATCTAGCGAGACGTCTCCCACTGCACAACGCTCAGACAAATCCAAACATCACAACTTCGCTTTCTCAACCGGAAACAAAGCCCGAAACAATGGCGATCGGGAGGGGATCATATGATACGACCGGCATCGATAGACCAATCGGATCTAGTGGCGGAAGCAAATGATTATCCCTTCTTGGGATCGGATGTTAGATACACTGTAGTTCCACGGCTTTAGGTATGGGATGGAACATTTGGGTTTCAACTGGAATCTTGGCTTGGTAAATGCAAACAAGAGATATCTTTGTATCATCTCGTGCAGCACCCTGAGCTAACGGGTGCAGCCATTCTGCTTTTGCCAGCGATTGGCAGAAAACAAATTATATCACGAGCCGTGAAATGGTGCGGGCCATCATAGTTAATGTCTCAATCAATATCAATCTCTGATTAAAGTTGCTATGCTCCTGTTGCCTGACTCCAAAACGCCTTTTATCCCATTTCTCTGAAATTAATTGTGCAAAATCCCACCCATCTATATAAAGAAAACATGCCCAGTATTCGAAACCTGCCCAAGCCTAGAATCAGGCGACTCCTCATAAATCATTGCCCTTGGCGCCCTCTTCTGTTCAGATGTAACCCCTCTACCCTCATATGCACGGTCGTCTAATTCATAAATTGGTTCTATCGTGGGTGCCACACACTTCTCGCGTGGACTTTCTTGCTGTCGGTACAAAGACCATTGTGTAGGAGAGTCCGCAATGGGTCTCTCTGATGTTCTGTACCAAGACCATCGGGATGGCGAGGTCTCGGCTGTTCTGTCTTGATGCTTGTACCAAGACCACCTTGATGGGGATCCTGGAAGTTCATGTATGTGAAACCAAATGGCTGGCCCGCCTCCTCGCCCTTTTGACTGACTTCGTGCGATGGACGACGTCTCAGATGGTGACGATATGTCGCTTCGCGGCTGCGATCTGTTGCTGTGCGATGGCGATTTGTAATATAATGGTGGTGACTTGTTGCTCTGCGGTAGCGGTTTGTCTAGCGGAGTCATTGTTTTGCTGCTCTGGGATCGAGGCGTGCTGCTTTGTGGCTTCGGTATTTGGGTGTGTAGCTGGAGTTGTGGCGGCCGCTGTTTTTCTCGCTGCGGCTTCGGTCTGTCATAGCGGACGGGCGCTCGAGGGGTTTGTTTCTTTCTTTGTTCTTTAAGGCGCCTTGATCGTAAAAAGAACCAGAGGAGTATCAACAGAAATAACAAGACAACCCCGCCTACGATGGGACCGGCGATCCAGCGTACTTCTCAAGTGTTAGGGAAATCTGCTGTAAAGAGTGAAGCGTATTTCTAACACTTACATTTGGCTGCATTGATATCTGAATCTGCGGACGAAATACTTGGTGCAGACATATATGGATTGGAGGATGTCGTCGACTGGTCAGAAGATGTTGACGCAATATGGACCTTGTAATGCCATGATGCGGTATTACTGTCATCGGGAGGCTGCCGTATCTTGAGATGACTGATCTCTATGCCGCAGAATGATAAAAATGGAGAGAGGCCTGACGGTTCTATCTTGAAAGGAAGCTGGGGGATCTGTTGCAAGCATGTCGCGCAGGGCCTGAATGCCTTGACGAATTCGGAATCTGGATGGCACAGACCCTCGACCATGCCAATGCGACAAGCCTCCAATGCTGCCGAGCCTGGAAAGAGTTAGAATAAGAAAGGCACAGGTTGCGGCGCGGGGGGGAAATGCCTACCACAGGGCTCCTCGCACATCGCGACAGCTTCCGCTATGTGGTTTGGCGACATAGTGGTCACATAGTCGCCGCGATTGGTAGACAACTAGAGTTGGTGAGTTTCTGGAAGAAGAGGAACTTCCAGCACGCCCTTGGCTTTTAATTGTGCATTTCCATGTTGGCACCAGCAGTGTTGGCCCCCATGTCGCAAGCGGGAGCCTTGTGCTTCTGCAGACTAAATCCTAAATCGACTCAGCCAGCATACCGGAGTTGGTCGCCAAGAGGGTAGTGCTGGGATAAAAATAGACAGGTACAGGTACAGACTGAGCCAGGCATTGTTGGCCTTTGGTGTAAGTACATTGTTTGAGACACAAAGTGAGGATACAATCAATCAATTAGACACACGACTCTTGTTCTTCGCAGCACAATGAAGATTTATTATCTGCAATTACTTTTATTTGTTTTATTTGTTTCTAGGTATTATCCCATTATTGTTTACAGCAGAACAAACCAGACAGTATGTACTGTTTACGGCCCATGGTGTTGGTCCCCGCTCACCAACATGCAACTAACGCTGCCACCCATCAAGTCAATGCTCGCTGAATGGGACGAATTGGGACGAAGAGGCTTGGGCGCTAACTGGGCAAATCAACTTCGACTTGGGTGGAGTAATATCGCTCAGCTTCGAAGTAGCATTGAGTTGACCCCCAACCGGTCTGCATTTGATGGACCAACACACCTCACAAGGTCTCAACGTGGGAATGGTGGGCTGACGGGCGGCACAGCCTTCGTAGTCTGCCTCTCTGAGTAAAGCTTGGGCGCTTACGACCATTTTGAGGCCGCATCGATCGATCACTTACCGTTGTGGGATAGGATGAACTATTCCGGGTCCTGCCCCTCATAATAGAAAATTCGGTTGCCATTGCCGAAAGAATCGAATGCTATTGACGGCCTGTGATCGTAATCGAGTGGCCGCAAGAAGCAAGATACGGTGTACGCAGTTGGGCAGTGTCCCCATGCCCATGATATCTCCATGGTCCCAGTCGACCAACGAATATTAGAAACAACAGCAGAGACCAGTTTTATTACTCATGTTGGCTCAACAGAGCACTACCAACAAACAGCTACAGAGGGTCACAGCAGCATTACCCACCAAGTATGTCATTATGGCCAGGTCCCAAATCCATCGCGATTGATCAGTGATGAATCTGTAGCAATCACCCGAGACCCTCCTCTGAATAGATCCAGGTGTGGATGGAGCGCGTCATGCTGCAATCTTCAACTGATGTAGGGCTGTTGGATGCTTAGAAAATCCTCATACTACTCAAAAGGCCATCCATATGATGTAAACATGACGATCCCGTTCCGCAGTGAGCTGAACACCCAAAGTCCCCCGAAGGATGATGATTACCTACAGAGGGCTACTATTCTTCGCAGAATTGATGGACCTTCGGGCGCGAATGAGGCAAGCCCAAAGCCAGGAAATCTCCTATTCCATATGCCACTCAAGCAGTGTCACTTGCTGTTTACGCCAAACTGGATTTTTTTCGTCCGTTTCCCCCCTCTTACCCTTCCTCCGAGAACTTCATATCGTACCGGGCGCATCGTTGAATGCCGCAACTGTAGCGACGCGCGACCGGCATGGCCAAAATCAAAGATCGCGCACCGGTTCGTGCGATCAAATACTGTTGATTCCCATTCATATAGAGGTGTCTGGACGTAGAAGACTTCGCCTTTGATCGCATGCTTATCTGCAAGAACTCGCGTTGATTGATCAACCTTACTTGGGACCGTTCGCTATGTTCTTCCCTAATCCGACAATTTTTGACAACATCGCAATCATCAGTCCACATCAGCCGTCGATTGAGCCATGATATGCTGGCTCCATCTCACCTACCGAGGCAAAAGTGTCCCCAAGCGGGGAAATGCATCTGGTTGTGGCGCGATGAAACCCTCACGACCCTTGACAGGTCCACCGAGCAGGCAGAGGATGAAGCTGCATTCGCCATGATGCTGGCAAGGGTCATCTCCGTCTATTAAATTAAATTGTTCCCCGACCTTTTGCATATTGACGGCTCCATCTCCTCAGATTGATCGCCCCGAGTCAACATGACCGGCCCTCCAGGACATCCGATCGCTTCGTATCAACCCCTGAAGCTGCTCTTCCAGCTTTTCCATGGCAGCACCATTCTGGCCCGTCTTCCGCTCTGGCTGCTTCAAGCGGTGGTGCCGGCGCTGCGACCACACCGAAAATGGACCGTGAAGCAGACCTTGATGTGCCGATTGATGTACGCGCTCGTGGACATGAACTCGCGCATCGGAGTCACAGAGCCCATCTCCCTCAAGCCAAACAAAGAAGGCGGACGCTTTCAGGTCATTGACCCTCCCGGCGCGGACGTCTACCAAGGGCCACTGTCGACGACGAGAGCCAGCCCCAGCAAGGTGGGCGCGACTTGGTTCCCCGAGGCCCCAAGTAAGGATCCCGGCTCCAAGGTCATTGTGCTCTACATCCACGGCGGCGCCTTCGTCATGGGCGATGGCAGAGACGAGTTTGCGGGGTTCGCTGGTAGGAATCTGGTCACCATGGCCAAGGCAGACGCGGTATTGTCGCTCCAATATCGACTCTCTGGTTATGCCGGACGTGACCCTTTCCCTGCGGCATTACAAGACGCGCTCGCGGCATACTTGTACCTCCTCCGCGAGCTCGGCCTTCCTCCAAGCCAAGTCGTTCTCTGCGGCGACAGCGCCGGTGGCAATCTTGTCATTGCTCTTCTGCGATACATCCAAGAGTTTGGCGGCGATCTGTCCATTCCCGCTCCTCGATGCGCCGCGCTCTTCTCGCCTTGGGTCGCGCCATTGAGCTACAATGTTCATCAGAGCCCGAGGGCGCACTCGGACTTTCTTCCCACCTCGTTCCTGCGATGGGGAGCTCTATCGTATAGCGCCGACTTGGAGGATCCTGCTTCGCATCCTTACATCACACCACTGGGCCATTCGTTCAAAGCCGGAGTTCCTCTATTCGTCAACGTAGGCACGGCGGAGATATTCCTCGGCGATATTGAGAAGTGGGTGAACGAGATGCGGAAGGTCGAGGGCAACCAGATTGATTTTCACAAGGAGGACGCCGCTCTGCATGATACTTTCCTGCTTGGAAATACGCTGGGCTTTGAGGAGAGTGCCCTGGAAAAGATGCGCGTGCTGGGAGAATTTATTCATAGCCTGGAGATTTAATCAAACTTAGTTCTCACCTAAGTTTATTGTGCAAATCAGAAGCTCTGGTGATGACTACTCTTGTTATCAGCGCTATAATTTGTCTCGCAGTGCACCAATTCTCAGTTTTAGCCAAGACGGTCAAGGGTCGGTACTGACCGGAGGATATTTAGGGGTCATTGTTTTCATCTTTCTTTTTCTTCTCCGCCCTTCTATGGAACAGAAGTGGTGCACTCCGCTCACAAGATTTTTGCATAATTCTCGCAGCTGATTGTGAGACGCTGAGATCGACTTTGATGACAAGGTCTAATCCATGGAGAAAATAATCATGTCTATGTCTTCCTATCAAATAAATATTCCTCACTACTTTTTAAATAAAGTATGTAGTAAATGAGAGAATTATGTAATTTTACCGATTTGCCTCGACTAACAGATATGATTTCTTCATGATTCTTGAGCACAAAGGTGAAGTGCAGGGTAGGTTATGCGGCCTGCTGACCACGCAGGTTCGTTACACAAGCATGGTCACACAACAATCACATAAAGTGGTCAAAGCAGAGCCCTAATGATAAGATAATACTCCATTAGACCGAGGTAGACCACTGTAATAGCATGCTTATTATACTGTCTAGTCGCGAGGACTCCCTTGATAATGGCCGGGCAATCCGGGCTCTTAGCGCTGCAACCAGAGCGGCAGCAGTTCCCGCTAGACACGGCGTGGATTAGCACGTGTGACTACTGTCTCACCTTGGGCTGGTTAGGGAGGAGGACGCTGGTCAGTGAATCTCCCGCTGTGCTAGGGTGGGATGCCAGTGATTCAGTGCCCTGGACCATCCCCCCAGAGCCTCCAGAGGGGAGGACTGAGCCTCTGGATACGAGGGTAGAGGATTGAACCCGGGCCTGTCCTTTTTCATGCGACATGGCGTGGTATGCAACGTATAACGCGCTTTGGTAAGTCGGCCCTGGTTCGGCGTGTCAGAGTGAGCACCCCCTTTATCACGGCTGGCCCCAGGGAAATAGTGACGATTAGTTCTTGTACCGGAATTTCGTGTGGCTTGTCGGAAGGCTCTTAGTGGGCTTCTAGTAGTAGGTAATAAAAAGTGTGTACATGAAGGAGAATAGGAGAATGACACGCGCCAGCGGCAGGGCTCAGTCTGCAGCCTCCCCTGTACGATGATGATTGGCGGCATGCGGGCAGGGCGCGAGCTTCCGCCCAACCCCAGTGAACAAGCATGAACGCGTAGATCAATCTTGACCCCTTTCATGAGGCTGCCGGTAGTTTCACAGGAGTCCGCCAACTGGACTGCAACAGCTATCGACCCAATAGCCTGGCGGTCGAGGTCATAGACTAATTCACATTCAAAACAACAAGCGGTGGCCGTTCTCGAATCTCTTGCTCGAGTCCAACGCCTAGCTTGTTTTGGGCTCGGCTTTCAGCTTGATCTGCGTGTGGGTGGAATCCCCCCTTTCGGATAGTTTTGCGGCATCGTGACAGCGGTATCCTGGGTAGAAGCTTGAATCTAGTTGGCGATGGATCCAACGGCCATCCGGAAGCACCATTTTGTCGGAGAAAACAGCAATGTGCTTGGTTCCCCATGGCCGCTCTTGTAACCCCATCAAGGTGGTGCCAGACTAAGCCATGCCACGACAAGGAGCCTTTACGCTTCTTGTGGGGCCTCAACACGGACGTCTTGTCTCGATCGAGACAAATGAGACGGCCTAAACAGGCCCAAGTTTCCCCCGGGCTGCCAGACTCGGACCTGCCTGGCCTTCTGGTTGAGCCCGAAAGGTGTGGCCTGTATATAATCAAATGGTGCTGCTCACGCTATGCGCGCCTCGTCTTTCCGTAATGCCCGAGCGATTCGTTTCTCGATACCCAAGTTTGCTTGTTTTTACTGCCGCTGGATTCGGCCTCTAATGTATTATTTGGCTTAATTCTTTTGATGCACCACTGTTTCCTCTGGCAGCCGCCATCTGCCCTACCTCGACTGATACGCGCGCCGAATAAGTCACGGCATTACAATCGTTATAATAATCATTTTAGACTCGATAGACGACAAGTCGAAGATGACTCGCCTCTTCTCACTCTCAACTACGGTCACACTTTTCTTTGTCCTTGCTCTGAGTGTTCGTGGCGAAAACAACCTGCTCTCTCGACTAGACGAAATTCCACAATGCGGAGTATGGAAAAACCCGCTGTCAAATGGTACCAGGAAGACTAATAGTGTATTAGATTCCATGCTTCTCGGCCGTTCCTGGCAACACCTCTTGTAATGTGTTGGACACTGCTTGCCTGTGCAACGACACCGAGTTTCAAAGGTTAGCGCAGCAGTGCGTTATGGAGAATTGCGGGATGAAGGACACCATTGGTAAGGCCCTGGGTCATATATACGGAGAGAAGGATGGGTTAATACGGCGACGGATCATGACTGACATTGGGGGACATCCAGCAATACAAAAATTCGGTACCTCTCTATGCGACGTACCACCACGTTCCCGCAAACACGAGCTTCTTATTCCCTTGGCTATCCAGATCCCGGCATGGCTATGTATTTGGGCTCGACTGTACTCGAGCTGGAGAACAATGGGTCGATGGAAGCCAGATGACTGGCTCATTTTGGTGGTTGGAGTATGTCTTCCTTGGAGCTGAGGTTGTTGTTAAGCCGTCAACTGACAACAATACAGTTCATCTTCACTGGCTTCGTAGCTATGGATCAATATGGTATGTTTAATTTGTTGGTAGGACGTTCAAACAGCCACAGATAACTGACAAAATTTCTCTAGTTGGGCAAATGTGGTATGGGGTTGATATCTGGACTCTGGCCGAGGATCAGATTACACAAGCGTTCAAGGTGAGCATCACATCCGACCTGCCGGTAAGATAGGCCATACTGAAATCTTCGAATAGCTGTTTTATGCTGGCGAGAGCATCTACATTCTATCCCTGGGCCTTGGTAAAATTGCCGTTCTCTGGGTCTATCTTCGAAACTTCCCAAACCAGCTGTTTCGATATGCTGTCTTTGTGTCTATGGCCTTGGTAGCCCTACCGACGGCGGGGCTCTTATTTCTTCATTTGTTTCAATGCAATCCTGTACATCTTGCATGGGATGGCTGGGTCGGCACGACGGGGACTGGGGACTTATGCGTCGATAAGCAGCTGATTAACTATATCACCGCTGGCTTCAGCATCTTCCAAGATGTTGTCATTCTCCTCTTGCCCCTGCCTATGGTGTTGAAGCTGCGGATGCATGTCAACGATAAATGGGGGATCCTTTGCATGTTTAGCCTGGGCGTTTTCATCACGGCCACTTCCGTCATCCGCCTGCTGTATCTTATCACCTTCGGCCGATCACGAAACCCTACCTGGGACTACACCGATGCAATTATTTGGACTGGAGTCGAGGCATCTGCCGTCGTCATGGTAGCTTGTCTTCCCGCCGTTGGTGTTCTCCTGAGGCATTTGATTCCTTCGTTGGCAGTCAATACATCCAATGGATATAGACGGAATGAGGACCCCTCTGCTTCTCATATGCGAAAGAGAAACCCTAGCGGGCGATCCGACAAAAGGAGATCAGGTAGACGCCTGACATGGGAAAGTTTGGGGTTGGACTTGGGCGACCGATCGTTTGGAAGGGTGATGACCAAGGTCTCTAGACACCCGCCTTCCTTCCACCCCTTCAACGACAGCTATTTCGACGGCCCAGACCAGGGAATCAGTATAAGGGCAGTGACCAAAGTGACGACGTCGGTCGAGGTGATCAAATAGATGGAAAAGCGATGAGAGCCCCTGTCCTTGTTGAGTCAATGGAAGACCGAAGGCTTAGGCAGCCAATAGAAATAGACTAGAGTAACTCTTTTACAATTAAGACCCACGTCTCAAAGGTTGATGTTCCAACCATTAAAGAGGAATGACGTGATCATCTCGGTGGCAGTCAAGGACATTATGCATACTAGACGTCAGAACTTTCCAGATAGTAGCATATTACTTTGAGCACGAACTGACTCGACAAGGGTAGGCATGCCGGCACAATACAACTCCCCGATATATCAAGGTGATGCTCCAGAGATAGATGCTGGCTCAGTTGAGACGAGGAATTCGTATGCAAGAAGGCTGATTAATGCCACAGGAAAGTCAACAACGACATAGTTTGCCTCACCAAAAGATGGACCTCAAACTTGTAATCCAAATGATTTATCCAGAACATCGGAAGAGCGCGTGTGGGCCAAGTGGAAGCCATGTTGCATGACTGGAGATCTGTGTCGCCCTTGTGGAGACACGTGACACCCTGAATAAAGTAATTGCTCTTCGCCAAGAGCACAGCTGAATCTCGCCTTGCGTTAGTTCCAGTAAAGTAGTCCACTCGGGTATCTCAGCTATGCATCGATCCAATCACTTACGAACAGGCTTTAATGTCGCACCTACTTTAGGACGTGCAACGTGTACATAATGCCCTGCACAGCTGACCAAGTCCTTGCATATCTCTCCATCTCCACAAATAGAACGCCGCTGAAGATTTATACTGAAAAAGCACGATTCATGGATCGGCGGCGAGTTTCCATGTCTGAATTTTGCAGCAGTTCGTGTTAAATATTAATGCAGCCGCAAAGAACACCCTATAAGATCTCGTGCCCTCCTTATTTGCCGTGAGAACTTTTGTTTCCATAGCGGTATAATATCTTCTCTTATATCAATACGCAGGAAGTCTCTATCGTTCCTGAACAATTACTCGGTATCCTTGTTATCTTTCAGCAATGTCATTGCTTTGTCAAAGGTGTTCTGTCATTCGCTTCGATGACAGTGAGCATGATTTGTCTGTTCGAACCACAGTCTCAGGCGACGAGCACATCGTCTTCAGCGGCGAGGAGATTGTGCAGCGTCTATTTTTGGACTATGAACTAAAAGACACTCTCCCTGCCCTTCCCAATCTTTCCAAGTCTGCATCCGACGGCTGTGTACTATGCTGCATCTTCAAAGAACAGATCACTCTCTTCTTAGGTCATAAAGTAACTCAGTACACTGAGCTATTCATACACAAGCTGTGCTACTCTATGCATAATGGCGATGGTGACGAGGTCCCCCAGAGATCGTGGCTACAGTCGCTGAACATGTACTTCAAGCTTGTCGACGTGAACATGACAGAGGCTTCGCACTCACTACGATTGGAGATCCAAGCCGATCCTACAGGTAAGCCTTTGAGAACCTGAGAACCCAAGGTGGGCCTTGCAGCTTACATTATATGTGAATCAAGATCCTTGCGCGACTTGGCTGTCAATACCGCGAAGGCCGCTTGAGAGCGATATTCTTACCGACGCAGGACTAAATCGGTTGAACGAGCTTAAGGATAGGCTTCTTTCAATGCCAGGATGTAGTCCTAGCACCACGAAGACCTGGTTTCCAACCCGTCTGATTGATGTCGGCCTTCGCAACGCGGGCGAAAAGACCGAAGAACCCAAACTTATCAAAACAGCAGATTACCTACCCATCCAAGAGGCAGAAGGTCGACGCTACATCGCCCTTAGCTATTGCTGGGGCCCACCGGAGAAAGCCAAACATCAACTGAAGACGGAGACCTCGACACTCAAAAACAGACTACAGCAAATACCCTTTCTCACACTTCCCAAGATACATCAGGATTCAGTCCGAATCTGTCGCGCCTTAGGTGTACGATATCTGTGGATAGATTCACTGTGTATTATTCAAGACGATAAGGCCGATTGGGATCATGAAGCGGAACGTATGGGAAATGTCTATGCCAACGCATATCTTACTATTTGCGCCGCCCGGGGAGATTCCTGTCTCGATTCTTTTCTCGATCGAATCATTCCCACCAATGTAGTTACTGTCCCATTCGTGTCTTCTATTAACCCTTCTATCTCTGGGACATTCTCCATCTTCCCTTCTCCACGTACGCATGGAAATTTCGACACAGACAGGATGAAGGGTAAGCTGCTTCCCGATTTCTTCAGGCCCAATCCGCCTCCTCCCGACCCTTACCGATTCGCAGCTTCTACGTATCAACCTTATAACCAGGATGTACTGGATTGCAGCTGGAACCGTCGCGGTTGGACCTACCAGGAAACACTACTTAGTCCCCGGGCACTTGTGTTTGGCGAGCTCATGGTCTATGCCTGTGCCGGCGGAGACTTGATTGAGTCTGAGGATGATGTCGGCGACAATCCACAAGCAGCCGTGAGGCACTTTTTGTGGAAGCAAGAGAAGAGCCTCACGGACCCGGAGAGTGAGATACTCGATGATTGGCGGACGACAATCTCGAGCTACACATCCAGGTCACTGACCTACCGCAATGATACTCTCCCTGCACTGTCTGCTTTGGCGCAGAAATACGCGGCAAGGGTCAACTGCGAATATCTCGCAGGTCTCTTTAGCGCAAATCTGCACCGGGGACTTCTCTGGACCCCTGGCAACAAGACAAATGCGGCCGAGTTTCTCAAGCCACTATCAAAGGCTGAATACATAGCACCGTCGTGGAGCTGGGCGTCCCGATCAGGAGGTTCATCATGGGTATGGCACATTAGATCGTCCTTCAAGCGAGAGTTTCAACTCATGGAGAGCAATATCGAGCTAGACGGCTCGAACAAATATGGTCGGGTCAAGTCTGGGCATCTTCTACTATCTACAAAGATGTGCCAGATCCCTACTAACAAATTGCGCCACAATCCTCAGTTTGTCGGGTTAGTTTTCCCATACGAGCTGCTATCGGATGACGGGACAAGCCTTGCGTGGGTAATTCTTGACTGGCGCTACGGATCTATGGAAGCGCCTGTGGACTCTAAGAAACCAGAGGATCACGAGGACGGACCTGTTGATCAACTACAAATGGTTCTGACCACTAGTAAAATCACGGATCGAGAACTGCAAGGAGGCGCGCATAAGAATATACCATATGAGGATCTATTGCTAGGTCTTCTAGTGCTTCCTACGAGTAAACCTGGGGAGTTTCGACGAGCAGGTCTGTTCTTTACAGAAACTAATGGACCTGGTGGGATCACATTTTGGAAAGATATACAAGCTCAGAAAGTAAAACTTGTATAACTAGTTGAGGTATACTAAAGTATAAGTTTTTATGAGATATTTACCATAGAAAAAATAAATACACAGATTTAAAAAAAGAATTTACTAATTTAAAATATATGTAAATCATAAAAATTTTTTACAATGTGGCTGGAAACATCATTGTCATATATAATGCGAGAAACGACGAGGATATCTGGTGCCTGCATCGTAATAATAATACTATATGTGTTGCGGTTAATGATTTAGTAGCTTTCTACTTAACTAGAACCGCCAGAGTCATTGCTGAACCGTCTCTATAATTTCATGTGATACCAACACATCCACTTCCCGTCCAATAAACGATTGTCATTTCAATTTCACAACATTAGGCTCGTCGGGTGGCGAAAAACTATCAGGCACCGGCGGTGTCTCGCTCACCTTGATATCGCCTTCAATCTGTGACTTCCTCTCTGACGACACTTTCAACTCAACCTGCATGACAATGCCATGGGATCCATGACTGATCGGTCTTATACTGTCCTCTTCGTTGCTGTCCGTCTCGCATAGGAATGTGAGTCCTCCGGGTGTCATGTTTTGCTGGCTCAAGGATAGCGACTTGTTTTTCTGCTTCTGTTGGTCCCGCCACCTGCCGGAGGCTGACATGTCGTCTAGCTTCACACTCCCTCCCCCATTGCCAGTCCTCCCGTAGCCGGTTGCTTTGGTTCGAGGTGTCGACAGGAAAGATCCTAGGAATGGGCGGAGCTTGACCTTGAGCCAGCCCCAGGTCATGGGCAAGTTGGTAACAGCAACCGCAACGAATGATTCTCTCAAAGCCCAATTGGTGCCTTCTCTCGGTCCCTCGGAATCATCCTAATGATAGGAACAGCCAGATATGTTAGAAACAACCCTACAGCATGATATATTGATAGCAGATGGGTACTAGCCTTCAAGATAGATACGCATCGGAGAACACCAAAGACAATGATAACGATGCCGCCAGAGAATAAGACTGTCAGACCCCATTTCTTGGCTGGCGGGAGTTTTGCCGCCCAGAACATGGGAACGGGAATCATGAAAAGGTAGAGATCGCTGAAAATATTGAGAGCAAGGCAAGTATATATGACGACCCGATTGATAGCAGGCATACACAAATCTGATGAATGCGATCGTTAGTCCAGGCGTATTGGTCGATGAGCTGTAGAGGATCCGTACTCCCTGGGTCTGGGAAGATCTGCCAGTGTTTCTCAAAGGGCATGCAAGTGAACAAGATTGTGCATATGGCAGCGATGTAGGACGCAACGATTATGCCAAGTCCAATGAGTATTCGAGTTTTGTACCCTTCAAGGCCGACCTGTAGACGATGATGAGCAAAATTTGCCTAAGTTAATATCTTAAAGGAACTGCACCTACGGTAAGGCGCAGGTAGAATGTGCACATTGACGCCTTGATCATCCATATCTGGGTGGTGTACATTATCCATCCGACTAAAATCGTCTTCGTACCATTAACTCTAAAGATGAAGCAGTTCAGTTAGCTTGAGTGTGAGCACGAGTGAACAATGAATGCGAGAATGAATATTACCTCCATATCCATTCTTGACCCCCTGGCTCAATTCCAAGGCGGTAGCTATCCGTCATGGCGCTGTTGGCTAGGCCATGAAATTCCGTACCGGTGATATATTGGACGACGGTCTCGGCCACGAGCGGCAAGATACTGAAGATCATAAGGTAATCATCCGGCCCCAAAGAGCTGATGCCAATGGCTCTTGTTCGACAGAATACTCGAAATCCGACAAGAAGCACAACTAGGGCGAGATATACGAAGGCTTCGATGGTATCAGGATTTGGCCCTGGTGGAGGAGCATCTCCTTCGATCGATGGGGCTCGATGAAAGACGAGGGATTCAGGCGAAGGAGCCATGCCCCTTTCCGTCCCTCCCAGGGATGAGTTGGGGACAGATCCTTTCAAAGTAGATCTATATCAGAAAACTGTTAAGTGTCAAGAATAAGCCCTTTCGTATCGTGTTTTCCTTTTTCTTCCAGGCGGAGAATAAAGTTTGTGGGAGAAATCGATCTCAGGGAACTGGCGCGAGATTGGGGAAAAGCAACGACGGGTCATAGGGCTGCCTCCACAGAATAAGAGGGAAACAGGAATTCTAACACTAATTTCCGTACATAGAAGCATTGATGAAATGCCCCAGGATCTGCAGGCAAGGATGATTCCATCGCTTAAACAACATGGTGTCAGTGTGTTGCGAGGGTGAGGTGGATTCTTCAACAGGGTGCCGTCGCTCATGAGCCACCAGTCATTGATTGAAAACGTGTCCGCCGTTCCGACATGCAGACAAGTTGATGTGACAAGGTCCAGGGATCGACTGTGTGATTAATGCAGAATGATACTGGCTTTCAATCACGTCAATCAAACGTCGCTAAGACAGATGCTGCATCATTCTAAGCTGGGGGGACCAGGCAAATGATACGACATGTGAAAGCTTCACTGATCATGATCCAAGATCGGAGGAAAGCAATAAGCCACTCAACCGCGTGGGAAGATCCTGCAGATAATCCCCTGCCCAGCCATTTTAGTAATAACAAGCGAGCTCGCCGTTTACCAGATCTGAACTGCAGATACTCGTGTCCACCGTCTCCACTACATCAGGCCAATGCAGACAGCATTTTCATGCGTGTTCATTCAATACAAGGAAGAAACTGGAATTTTGGGGGGATTGGACCAGTAAAGGTCCATGTTTGAGTTGGTAGTCCTGTGAAATTGTAATGCGGTAGAGTTACACGCTGGCGGGAGGCATACGCAAGCAAATACCTAGAAGAGAATGACAACCAAATAAGGCCATTATCCAACCCAATCGGATTAGGCAAAACGCCCTCAGCAGGGATGTAGAAACTGAGGCTTATTCTTCGCATTGAGCCTGAAACCAGAGCTCGGAAAGGTGTGGTGGAGTCGGCCCATCATGGCCTGGTTTCGTCTTGAGAGTCGTGCTGGTACAACTTGCTCATAGCGGGTAGCATGCCATCTAGGTTAGTATACGCGCGTCTGTGTCCCTTTCCGAATCATTGTCCGTAGTTGTTTCAACGGCAAAGGACGTACCTTCACCTAGCTGACATGTGACGCGCTGTAGAGAAGGGTGGAGTGAAATGCCAATGGTTGTTAATTGCAACACTGGGACTTGTCCACAGAGGCCCGTTATGCCACCTGGGTGGAGTCTAGCGAGCTGGATGTAACTGAGATGCATTCCTTTGAAGCAATTATTAATCCAATAGCACATTATTTGGAGCGGTGGTAGCTTCGATATCTCCGCTGCGCGCCGTACATGGTCCCCATTTCAAGTAACGACCCCTGTGCACACAAAGCCGCAGGGACCATTGCTCTTCGTGGGTGCTTGCCCATATCTATGCGTGAGATTAGATAGGAGGCTGTTGGTAGGACGTTAGAGGGCCCTTTTACACGCTCTGTTGACTAGATTGCGCTTCGGCAACGCACACTCGTGCAATTAGTGTTATGGAGCGGGTTACACTGATGTGTGAACCAAGGGCCGGATCGCCCCTAAAAACGGCCTTGGTAAGACGCTAGTTGCCGTGCTTCTCTGGGCCATTCTTATCTACAGTGACCAGCTGAATGCGGGCAAAGAGGGGGCGATGTTCAGTCAAACTCAGGGAAAAGAAAAGCACTGAGAGAAGCCCGGAGACAGCGATGAAGGCATGCCTCTGATTTCAACAAGAAAGAGCAGGGTTTTGGATCACAAAGCAGTGAGCAAGCTCAGGATTGGGTACAGATTCAATCTACCTGGAGGTGGAGAACAGACTGGGGCAAATATCAGACCATTTAAGATCAGGTTGAGTGTCACATTCTGGGTATGCCAGCATCCCCCAATAGCTCCAATTGGAAGACGGCTGTTCATTTCCCGAGTTGTAGTTAGGCCCTCGGTTGAATACAACGTGGCGATTGTTCGAAGATTGTCCACGATCTGTGGGTGTGACTAGCATGGCAGATTCCTTGAACCACACCGATGCCTTTGAGAACATGCCAAATGTGTATACGGGCTAGCCTGAGCCACAACCGCAGAAGCACATACAACTTGGAGGGTCAGATGCGAACAATCAGAGTCGTCGTAGAGGTAGGTCAGCCGGTGAGACTGTGGCATATGCGGTTGAGTCATCAGAGGCCAAGTTGAACGCCAAGATCCTGAATTCTCGCCAACGCACATGCGGGCTGAACTTACGCCCCACACCAGGCAAATTCATCCATAAGCGAGTCATTAATCATCGACTCATGTTTGGATCTTTCGTTTCTTTTAGAGGATCACTCCCTTGTGAAGAAATGGGGAAGACCCCGAATTCTAGGGTCTGCTCGTCCGATTAAAAGAGAACCCGTGATCCAGGCTTATTGGCGTGCAGAATGAGGCTGTCAACAACAACATAAATAGATCCTATGCAACCTGAATGGCTGTCACTTGAATGTCTGTACCACTCAGAGTTATCATACTTGAAACTTGAACTAGTGAATTATCGAAACAACATCTTAAGGTAGGTAGGTTAAGTGATACTATCGAAAAATGTTAGGTTCTTTCTAGCATATCTAGTCCACGAATGAAGCCACTGTTTCTAAAGATAACAATATGAAGCTGGATCGAACTTGCGAGTCACTGGTAAGTAGTCTACAAGTATTAATCTCGAGGAACAAGAGATAGGTAAACACAGAGATAAGACGAAACCATGACACGTTGTAGAAATTTCTACAACTGATTGATCTACGTAGCTGAGAGCCGTATGTGCATAATCTTCTGTTGCATTCAAATAATTCAATTCCTGATACCACCTACTATTGATACCTGGGGTTGTATCCGGGAAAGAGTTAGCCAACTAGGATGAAGTCCGAATGCGACGGCGGTGTTTACTTGTTTCGCTAACATACCGAGCAAGGGCGGCTGCGATTGCCATATTTGTAGTCTAGACCGTTGGATAATTGTACTCTGCCTTGTTTTTAATATTTCAAAACTCTAGCATGATGTCATCCTGGATGAGAGCGAAGTTACCTGCCACTTTTGAGTAGTTCGCGTTTCCTCTGCTACAATGATTCTGGCTCAAGTGTTAGAACATACATTTATGTGATGTTTGACAGTATTAAATCTCCCCCATAGCTCGAAACAACATCATGACGAAAGAATATATTTAAGGTTATGGTGGACGCTAGTCTATATTAGATTCTGTCGCCCCGAAATTCTGTAACGATGCGTTCATCGCAAGAATGGAGGCTGTTTTCTTCAATACTGGACTCCTTTATCAAGCAGTCACAAATTGATGTTCTGGGGCCGAAGAGTGAAAGGAATCTGATAATACTAGTTTACTAGTTCCATGGGACATACACTGCGCATCAGCAGGTTGGGATCAGGGTTGCTCTTTCTGGCATCTCCGTTGATGAGATTTATCATCCGGGTTCAAGTTGCCACCAAGTCTCAAACTGTCCCGGCATTCCACTCAAACCAGTCTCTAAAACTAACCCTATCTTCACCAATAGATACCACAATGTTGTTTTCATCGTAGCCGCCACTACGATAGGTTGGCGCAGTGCTCGCTTGTCGCTTATCCCACTTTTTCAACTCTTCATCCCCCTTCTCTCCCGGGTACAGGTGGGTTTGTACCACACTGAAAACGAACTCAACGTCCACTAGAAGCCCCTTCTTCCACCGAAGTGCTGTTCTCGACCAAACAGGGTTATCGTGGCTGCCGAGCCGGTAGGACATTTGGACGCTTCGCCTTATGACCTTGCCTTGACACGGGGTCCACAAAGTGTGGTATATCGAATCCCAAAGTTGGCCCATCCGCAAACCTTCTGGCACAATAAATCTCTCCATTCCGTCCGTTTCGGGAAAATTGCCTGGACCGCATCTATACCCGATCTTCCTGGCAGGCGGCTGTGAGATCAGCATGCGACGCCAGCTCGCGTCTTTGTGAGCGAAGCGTTCTTTAAGTCCCTTTGTATCGCGGCCGGCAATACTGAGCCGCATCATCTGAACGTGATGAATGTTGAGTCCATCTCGAAGAATGCAATCGAACTTGTCCATTGGAGTATAAAATCCCGGAGGATCAAGGTCAAAGGTAGCGGGCGACTCAACCAGCGGCCCAAAGTGTTCGCACAACAATGGATTGAGGCGAAAATGGGAAGCAGCGTCTGAATCAGACATGGTAGTATCGCGATCAGGTAAGAAGAATAGCGCGCGATTGAGTTCAAGAGAACTGTCTATATGCTGCTTCCAAGAGCGACAAACGAGCGGAACCGAGGCGACGAGAGTTGGCATATCGTCAACAGCCAGAAGGATCATGTCAAATAGCTCAGGTGTCGCAAATACCTGGAGCGCTTGGGGCGATGGTTTCGTGAATAGCCATGGCGTTTCTATTGAAGCGACCAGTCTGGCCTGTACTAAGCGGTTGCTTCTTCTCATCGTGAATTTCTGATGGCTGGAAATGGAAAGGAGAGTGACGCGTGCTTACAATCTTGGACTTGCGTGAACTTGAGTGAGTTAGTTAACGCGCTTGCTTACACCGTACAATTAACCATGACTAAGCAATCCCGGTGCTCACACCGTGATACAAGATGCGCTGTCAACCTTCTCTTATCGCGATCGAGTCCTTTGGAGGTTTATCTTTATCATTGACGAGGCCGACATTGACTGGAGGGAGAGGCTCCAAAGTGTATTCTCTTTGCCGCCCTTGCGTCTCGGATTGTTCCCTGCGCTATACTCCACATGAAAAGATATGCAGATTGGGGTATCCTGTTCGTCAACTTTGCAACTGTGTTTGTGAGTTTTACCCTTGGAATTGAATGCAGTAGCCTGTGTGGACATTGATCACAGCCCTGGAAAGGTGAAACTATCCTCGGAAGGCACTTTGAGTAATATGCCAATCCTTGATTGCACAGACACAAGGAACCAGCATCAACAGCAAAAAGGTCTCAAAAGCCAATATTATTCCAATCTATCTCACTCCAATAGGCGGGCAATAGATTCTTCCTTATTCAAGGATCTAGACTCTGCCGGGCTTGCTGTAATGCCTTCCCCTTCCTCAGTTGAGTGATGAATATGGATTTGATAACATCCTTGATTGAGATAGAATTAGGCTCAAAACTGAATCAGGGAGGTACAGAAGTGACTCTTTACTGTGCCTTACCGGTGTTGTTACTATATCTGTGCCGTTGAGCCAGGCTAGAACGCTGGGTTGAACAAAGCCAGGACCATCTCTGAAGTTTTCAATCCTGGCAACGAAAGATCATTTCAGTAGAAACGCTTGAAATTACTTGTAATATTATACAGAAGCTGTGCCGGTTCTGATCGACCCTTGGGTCGTATCTTGCACGACTGGTGTTGCCGGGAGGCAGCGGCGATAGTGCGACGAGATGGCCACATCAAGCGAGCCTCTTGTGAGCAAACTGCATAATTACCATCCGTGCGTAAAAGATGGTCCCAGAATGAACGTAGTGTTAGTGAGGTATCTGTTATTGAACGATAACAGCAAAAAGAGAAATCTCCCCCGGACAGGATCGAACTGTCGATCTCCCGATTGCGTTGTAGATAACAGTCGGACGCCTTAGCCAGCTGGGCCACAGGGGACGATTCATGCATTCTCGGGGCTTAGTTCGCTTTGGATAGCGTAGACAGTGGAGGTTGTACACTCTCTCCTCGACTCGTTCGCTCATTTCACATCCCAACAATACGCAACATGTACAGTGATCCAGCGCTCTTCATTTGGTGTACATATCACACAATATTCGAGATCACGATTTTTTGTATGATTTGGAAGCTTTATACCCCTGATATAAAGCGCGTTCTGACTACCAAGTTAGCGAGAAACTCAAGGTCTAACCTTAAGATAGGCTCCTCCTGGTTTATTGTATACAAATCAATTGGAATATTGATTTCCCTCGTTGTACGTAAAGAGAAATTCTTTTCCATTCAAACCTAGATTTCCGTTACCCATTATTCTTTGTATGTAAGAACAAACGCTGATGTCTTGTGATAAACGCAACCGTTGAATTTTACCACTTCTCTCATTACCGACCTCTAAATATCTCGAAACCAGCCTCATTGAACGTGGAGTTTATTTAAATGATGTTTCTATACGTTCCGGAAATAGAAGCTCAGTCAATCATGTTGTCCTAGTACGATACTTCACGATAAAAATTGCGATGGCTTGTCTGACGAATTGTGAAATAGTTCAAGTGAGCATGAGCGAAAGTCGAAGAGACATTCCTTCCTGGTTTGTCCACATTCAAATGGCTATTTGTTCTTGTATGCCAATTAGCTTAGTCTGTCTGCGGCAACTTGGGCTACCAGTAATAGCTTGCAGATGATTATAAACTCCCAGGGACAGTAGTATGGCTCATACAGCTTTCGCATTGTCCAAAGCCGGGTGTATTTCTATATAAGGTGCGGAGATATAGCCATATTCAACATGTCTCACGTGACTCCCTCACATCGAGAAGTACCGAGGCTTGTGCAAATTGTATTTTCTGTTGGTTGTATATTGGTATGCCGCCGCACTTGGCAAACGTCGGCATGCTACATCGGATCAATGTGAATCCTCACATGTAATTAAACATTCATTCCATCAATTTACCCCTTTTCATATGCGGGGTCGCTGTACCATCACCACATTTCATTTATGAGCGTGTCTTGCATCACATTTTGGAGGATGTTACCCCACCCATACGTACACAAAACTCATTCATTCGGACACTACATTACGTTTAATCTCCTAAATGTTTGGTAGACAGACCATCTCGCGCGTCTTAGCAGGTGTGATATTAATCATGGCTGCTGTTGCCGAAATCGAACATGTCCCTGCACCTTGGAACCTCAAGGGCACTGCTTATATCCTGACTTATTGGTCGTCAACCGATGCTGAAGGCAAGCTGCCTTCCATGGCCTACTCCCCGCTGGAGTACGCATCCCCCTACGCGTCGCTAGAAAATGGTCGCCCTCTTGGGGGTATAAGCATGCTCCAGCTTATCCGTTACACTGAATCACCAGTCGGCCCCTATGACGAATTCATCATCAGCCCTGGAAAGCATGAGTACGAGGTGGAGGAAAATGGCGCGACGGTCAAGGCGAGCCATCATCGGATTACGCGAATTTACGTGTCACAGAAATACACCTGCTGGAATGGAAGAACCAGTATGTCCCTGTGCCTTCCCCGAACGTAGTAAACATTGGATGATTAACCGCTCATTGCAGACTGGAATATTCCAAAGCACCTCGCCAAATTTGATTGGACCACTACATCGAACGGCGAGGTATCGGTCAAGATCTATCCTCACGACACTGGTGATGACCCTTCCGAGGCGAATCCCTCAGAAGCTCCTTTCTTCCAGGCCACTTTCAAGAAGGTCCCACTCCTGCCTTCCTTTCCTCTCTCTCTTAGTATCCTCAAGTACCTGGGTCAAGATCCAAAGCTCGTGCAACCGCCTTTACCCCAAGGAAATGGTAGCCTGTCTGAGCTGCCTGGCACTGACCAGTGGTCCTCTGTTGACCCGGGTCAGTCCTCGCCGAAAACAAGTCTGGGTTGGTTTGATATCAAGCAATCTGAAGCGAGCAGTAATGAGAACTTTTGGCCGGGACTTGGTCGGTGGCAACTCGGATTTGTAATGGAAAACTCTGACATCAATTTCCCGGAGGGGGCGCATTGGGATTCTCCAAGTTCGGAGAAATGAATGAGGGATATCCCCTTAGTAAACCTGAATCATATTAATACAAGAGCATTGCGGTGCCTGGGACTTGTTGGTTTCGAACAGTACAGCATTCTTCCAGAAGTGTTAATTAGCATCTGATATCATTCATCTGCAACATACTCGCTGACCAATACACCAAAACATCGTTACAAGCTACATAGCTTGGCATGATGACCAAAATTTCAAAGGGTGCCAAGAGATGGGATTTCTTGGTAGAACCTCGCGGTAAAACAAAAGCACGAGATCGCAACGTGACTTGGCTTCCTTGTCAAGGCTGGTCACGAGGTCCTACTTACTGCCTGTGATGATTTAGTACGATAGTATGGCTGACGTTACTGTCTCGTAATGATTGCAAGATTCTTAGGAGATTCTCTGTGTGTGGTGTCCGGCTGTCATTCTCAGGTTCCACATGGGCCCTTCATGCAGTAGTTCGTCTGCACTGTCAAGCTTTGGTCACTGTCGGGAACCATCGGAAATACTAGATATCCCAAGATATGCCAAAAACGTACAAGTTATTGATAACCAGGCGGCCGCCCTTGAAGTCCGCAAAGCGGTAGCTTTCACTTTGGATGCCGGATGACTTGGCACATGTCATCCTTGATGAATTCTTTCAATCCTCCAATCTTAAGATCCGATGGATATTTCAACGTAGAAATCTCCCAGCACGAAGAAATGTTTCTCAATAAACGTTATCCTGTGGGGTCCAAAAAACCAAGCTTAATTCACTCTAAGCTAATGAGGGTTGATGATGTAGCTGTAGCAATTTACTCATGATATTCCAGTTGACACCGGTTGAAGATACCTCAGACTGCCTCCTTTCTCCAGCGGCGGAAAATGCACGGAGATTCGGAGATAGATAATCATCACGGCGTTCTCCGTAGAACTGATAAAATTTAAAGAGCCCGTAAGAAGCCATCTGTTTGCTAGGACTTCCCGTGGTAGGGCTGGCGGCCGATTCCCCATATTGGAGGCCGAACATCCGACTCGGCGGCAGTGAGCGGGTCAAACGCTTACGACGCTCGCCAGCCAGAAGAGATCAAACTTGCTACAAAATAGTGCACTCCAAGACAACAGGGTCGTCCAGCAGGCCGAATTAGCCGGTGCTAAAGCCCAGAATTATATTGTTATTACTCTCTCGGCACTTTTGCCGGAGCGCCCAGCCTGCCCTGGAAAAGTAGAGGGCATCCGAGTTACCAAAAAAGGAGCCCTCTGTTAGCGATTGTCGCGTGAGTTGCGGCAAATAAACTGTTTCCCACTAGCACTAGCATCCCGCTCGGCTCTGAAATTATTTCATGGGTCTAGGCTTACGACTACAGAGAAAATGGCTTAAACGCCATATCCAATGGGAATCTGCGTGAATCAGACGATTGATATGATTAGATACGCGGGTGGTAGATATAAAGTACACCATTGGCGTGCAGAATCTTATCTGATCGATTGATCAAATCGATGATCAAGGAGGCCCCTCCATGATCAAGTCTTGACATTCCTTAGTCTTGACTCTTCCGACCTTACAGAAGCATACCCTGAATACAAAACATGGGTGTTAACGCACAAGACGTCACGGTTGATGAGCGTTCTGCCCAACCGGAAATCAAGGCCGAGGGTAGGGATAGCACCGTATCCTCAATCGAGGAAGCAAAGCGCCCCTCTGGTGAGTTGTGGGCTCCTTGATTGACCTCTGCCACTCAGCTCTAACAAGTTTACCTTTAATACAGA